GAGGGGGGGGGGAAATCGGGGATGGAAAACGAAAAGCTATGCTATGAATGAGAAAGCCAGCACTCGGTTGAATGACTCTTGCCATCATCATCATCGTCATCATCATCATCCAAATGACAGATCGATCAATATTGGGACTCTTTTTGCTTGCATTCATCAGTCCTTTTTTCTTTTGCTTGAAAAACCACTCGCTGATGGAGACCGAATCCGCTGCTGCTGCTGCTGCTGCTGCTGGTGCTCCAGCGACTGCGCCAAAGCGGCGGTTTGAAGGCGGACAACGCGACGCTTGCAAGTGATGACTTGTTCAGAGTGTTTTAGATCTCGTTTGTCTGTTCATCCACGCTTGGGAGAAGAGTGGAAGACACTGACTTTGACTTGTTTGACCAAAGCAGCCAAGCGAGTCGCAGTCGACACGTCCAACGACACGCCAACCATGACGCTATTCAGACAGTTTGCTGCGACCATGGACGCAAAGGTAAAAGCCGAGTCGAATCTCAGCGAAGCGGAAAGGCATCACTCAAAAACCTCAGTCTGATTCACTTGGATTCTTAGAACGATCGCCACGAACGACTCGTCAAGCTGAGCAGAGACCTCACCGTGCAAAGCAAGCGTGTCATATTCGCAGCTCAGCGGTAAACAAACGCAACGCAGCAATAAAATTATTGGAGAGATTCTGCTAAATGACTCGCTGACCAAAGAGGCGTGGATTCAAATTGCACAGCGCAACCGATGCCAAGCAACGAGACGCGATTGTGGCACAGGCACTGCAGACACTAGAGGATATCCGCCAGAATCAAATCCGGCCAATGGCGGTCGAGTTGGTCGACCAGAATCCCATTCTGCAAGTTTGCGTTCGTGCTTTGTTTTCGTTCGTTTCGTTTCGTGTTTTTTGTTGGATGAGAGTGATTTGATCGGCAAGCTGGTGACCTTGACGCTCACTTAGTGCTTACTCGACGCGATCTCGATTCGAGAGCAGATATGCAAGAGCTTACTCGCCTGGCATGCAGGAATACATTGAAGCAGTCTCGTTCGTCCATTACCTAGCCACCGCCACGTTGATTACGCAACGGCAACTTGAAGAACAATTGTTGTTTGATGAGGCTCTTTCTGTGGGTATTGACTTGTGCGCGAGCGTGCGGTTTGTTCGTCTTCGAGTGCTGACTGCTGCTGATATTTTGCTATTTACCGAAAATTCCAGTTCCCCGTCACAATCACCGACTACCTCCTTGGCGTGACGGACTTGACGGGCGAGCTTATGCGCTTTGCGATTGCTAGCGTAGGCTCTGGCAACCAGCAAGAACCGATGCTTATTGGATCCTTCGTGCGAACCTTGACCCAAGGTTGGTCCTCCTCCCCCAAAAGCCGTTCTAAGCACGGGTGCTTGCATATCGACTCACTGACTTGTTTTTTGTTCGTTCTAGTGTTTTCTTTGCTCACCGGCACTGGAATCCGGGACTTGCCTGCCAAGCTGCGTGTGATGCAGTCTAGTTTGGAGAAAATCGAGCAAGGTAAGCGCGGGCTCCGGTGAGGGGGGGGGGGGACGAATTTTGGCTTGCAAAGTGACTTCTGTTTCTAACTCTGCACACGCTCGTTCTGATTTGGTTTCAGTGTGCTACAACATTACGGTACGAGGCTCGGAAATTCCAAAGGAAATGCTGGCCCAAGCGGCTCAATTCTGGTCCTCGTCCTCTGCCACGACGTCTGGTCCCGGCGATGACTACGCCGGTGGTGCTGGCGGGAATCAGAACGACGACTGAGACGACGAGGCGAGTCGTTGTTGATATTGAAGCACAAGCTTGTGCTGCTGCGACTGGTTTTCTTTCATGTGCATCCCGCTCTATTCCTTGCGCACTTTAACGAAGCCCAGTACTTTCCTTGATCAAACAACATGCAACGTACTGTATTTACTGTACAGGACTTTTGGTGCTTGAAATCGAGAACGAGATCCTCTAAGCCTCTTCTACCATTTTCTACATGTACAATGCACTGTTGTGTTACTACTTTTCTTGAATCCATCCCTCTTGTTCTTTTTCCCCCTTTCACTCTTCATCTTTCTTCTTCTTCTTTTTTTTTTTTTTTCAATGAACCCGCAACCGAGTAGTTCTTCTTCGCAGCAGCAACAGCAGCAGGACTCGGACGGCGTTCTGAACGTGCTTCAGTCCTTCCGCTCGAAGGTCAGTTCTTCCCCCTTCGCGCGAGTTTTTGCTCCGTCTGTCAGAAAGAAGTGTTTTGTGTGTGTGTTTGATGCGTGTGGCTGTGGCTGCTGCGCTCGAGCGTCCCAATGGAAACGACGACGAACGTTTTGTGATGACGCAGCGCCGAGTTGACTTGCCGCTCCGTGCCATCACTGCCACACTCTTTGTCGATGGGATTGCTTGTCTGATTGTGGATGTGACTTGCTTTGCGTTTCTGTGGTGGCGGTGCGGCTGGCAGGCGGCTCATGCAGTGCTCCAGTCGCGCTTGGCCGAGACGCTCCTGCGCTCCCAATCCAAGGCGTCGCCCTCTGCTGCTGCTGCCCGCGGCGGATCGCTGGGTGCAAGCTCAAGCACAGCTGTCACAACGCCAGCTGCAGAAAAGCAGCGCAAGGTCTGGGTAGGTCGTCGAGTGCGCATTGCTCTGAGGCGTTTCTGAGATTGTTGGATGCTTGGATACTGAGCACTTGACTCTGTGCTTGCTTGCTTTTTCTGTGGCAAGTTCAACTTGGAGATTGACGAAACA